GCTCCCATTTGCACCCTTAGCATCTTGCACAGTGCCATGTATGAGGAAGTGCCAATAAATATTTGCTAAATAGTGAAAAAAGAAAAGAACCCCAAGGCTTCCCATTGGTGGCCACAATTAAATTAAATTTGAAAGAAGAAATTTATCACGTAAGTGAGAAATAAGCCTATTTCAAGCATGAAGGCTAGTGTGAGCAGAGTACCATGACACGAGACCTTGAATGCATTCAGGGAAGCTCAGGTTGTGCTGGAGTCATCTATAATCCTGTCTACGCGTGTGTGAGCTTTTGAATTTCTAAATGAAGGCAGTAGCCAAGTAGACAAGGACATTGTATGTATAATAACTAGAGTTTGGGCCCTTCCTGGGATGCAGAGCACAGAAGGATAGAAAATAGGGTAATCAAGGCTTTTTGTGATCTAGTATTTATCTCCATCTTTCAGACATTTTTTGAACAATATATGCCTCAGCAATGCTAAAGTGTATACATCATCCCCAATGGTGTACATGCTGTTTGTGCACCATTGTGATGTTAGAGGGGTGGGTGCCCTCTAACGTCATGATGTTTCTGTTTCTTTTTTTTTTTTTTTTAATATTTTATTGATTTTTTACAGAGAGGAAGGGAGAGAGATAGAGAGTTAGAAACATCGATGAGAGAGAAACATTGATCAGCTGCCTCCTACACATCTCCTACTGGGGATGTGCCCGCAACCCAGGTACATGCCCTTGACCGGAATCGAACCCGGGACCTTTCAGTCCGCAGGCCGATGCTCTATCCACTGAGCCAAACTGGTTTCGGCAGATGTTTCTGTTTCTTACTTTGTTTCTTTGCTTATGTTGTTCTCACTGCCTGGAATGTCCCCATCCCCTCTTATCACCAATACCCTGGCTGGGCCAGGTTCGAGGCTATTATTGATCCAGTGGTTCAAGTGTCACCATCTCCAGAAAATCTTGAGTTCCTTCACGCCCAGCCAGTCATTAAAGTTCACAGTCAGTGAGTGCTGGCTACGTGTCAAGCACCCTGGCATTTACTTTGTGCCTATAATTTGATCTAATCCTCATAATCCTAGAAAATAGCTACTATTATTGCACTTTTTAAAATTATGATTATCCTTTTTAATGCGAGCAGAGGGGTACAGTTTTTAAGATTTATTCTATATTTTGTAGACTAGCCAACTACCGCTTACATAAATTATCGAGGGTTAAAGAATGGCTGAGCTATAGCACTTGATGAGGGAGCTTCAATCCCCACCATCTTTGAACTTGAACATTAAATTTAGCTGCTTAGACAGAGTCATGAGACCCTTTTCTATCTACATGCATTTTTTTTAGCAGTATCAATTTGGTAGAATATTAAGTTGACACAGTTTTCTTCTTTTCAGTTATAGTCTTTAAACGTTCTATATCAAATCCCCTTTTTCCCACTCCTTGATGCTATATCTTGGGCAGATTCCGTGATTATCTGGTCATGTTCCATTATTAAATCCACTCCAGCCCAGTTCAAATTTTTAATTTTTTTCCCCCCAAAACTCCTTTTCTTCCCATTGCAGGACAGGCTGTTGGCACAAGGGACTTGGAATGGAGATCGGGCACAGTCTGCTCTGTCACTTCCTCCCCCACCTCCTGGAGCTGGGAGCCAGCTCCACTGGGTCAGAGGGAGTCAGGGAGGAGCGATGTAGAGAAAAGGGCAAACATCTCTTTACTTAGCTGGTCTTGGCCACTGCTCCCTCCTTGTTGGCTGCATGTGCTTTGGAGACAGACACTAATGGGCTGTCATTTTCATCCATGTGGCACCTGTCCAGATGCTGGCTGGCTGTGAGCACATGCGTGGTTTCTTAAGCAGGCCGGGCAGAGCCTCCCACTGTACAGTTCCCTCCTGTTTGAGATCCAGCTGCTGGGCTAGCACTTGCAAACCCCTCTCACACTCGTTTCTTGCCACTGGGGGTGCCTTTACAGACTCGCGTGGTTGGAGTCTCCTCACCGAATGGGCAGCCCTCTTGGCCGGGATGCCAGCAAGTTGACTCAGACATGGGTGAGTCTCCGGATGTCCGCACAGTCGTGAGGCATTCACACAATTTTGCCGTCTTAAAGGGGAGAGCGAGCAGAAAGGCACTTCATCACCTGGACTCTCTGTGCTGTCATGGAGTTGATGAACAAATCCACAACGTGAGCAAATGTCCATTCCGGCTACGGGAGTCATGCTCCCATGCAGCGTGCAGTCCTTGTCTACTGCTTTTGTCTTTAGAAATCCCCTTTTTAACATAAAATAAATAATGTACAATAGAGCATATATGCACAGTTTAATGAACACTAATACAAAAAACTCATATACCTGCCATTTTGAGACATTTTAAAACATTTCCCAGTAGTACATCAGAAGTCTCCCAGTATACTCTGCCATTCTGGATTTTGTGTTAATTCATTCTTATACATTAAAAAGCAATTTTAGTACATGTATATTGTATTTGTTTTTCTATTGCTGAGATAATAAATTACCACAAACTTGTGACTTAAAAGAATACACAGGTATTACCTTATATTTCTCAAGATTTGGAGTTTGACATGAGTCTCATGAGTCTATACGTAAAATCAGGGCTCGATAGGGCCGCGTTCTTCTCTGGAGGCTCCAGGCGAGAATCTACTTCCTCACTTTTTCCAGCTTCCAGCGCTACCCACATTTCTTGGGCCATGGTGGTCTTCCATCTTTAAAGCCAGAGATTTTGCATCTTTTAGTTCTTTTATGAAATATTTTTTTATTTTTCTTAATTCTGATATCTATTAACTTCTGAGCTCTTCTACTTTTTTAATTCTGCTGTTTGTATCAAAGCCTTAATTGTTTCCTAATGTTGAAAAATTACATTGGAGGTTTCATCTGCTCTGTGACCTCATTTTTTCTGGTGAATTCTCATTGTTTGTCTTAATGTTATTAAGGCCTCATTTATATCTTAGTAGTAATTTGCATGGTGATAGAACTTTCTTGGTGTGTGTGACCCATGTTTGAAAGAGGAACCAAATAAGATGAAATTTCCTGGGATATTAGGAGAAATGCAGGCCAGGGTAACTTCTTTTATATCTGACTTTAAAATTTTATTTCTCTGTTTTTACCAGTAAAGATTCAAAATATGCCCTCTTTGTTAGCCACTCTCTGTTTCTTGAAGTTATGTCTGATTTAGAAAGATTATCTGCCTCTTGTCCCTGAGGTACACAGGCCTTGCCTTCTAATGTACCTCATACTTCCTGGGGGTTCTTTTCTCTGAGCTCCTCAAAAATTCTCTTTCATTCACACAGTTCCTTTCTTGCTCAATTTGACTGTTCCCAGTAGGAGGAGGCACTGTCCTTCTAGAAGAGGGAAGTAGTTTCTGGATATTTGTGAGATTTTATTAAAGACTAGATCCATCATATCCATGAAGTTTCCTTCACATCTGGGTCATTTTGGGCACTTATCTGGAACTCTGAGCCTGTGAAGATTTTTGTCTAATTTCATTAATTTATCTCAGTTTTTTTTTCTTCCTAGATTTCCTTTCAGGGTAAGTCCTTTTCTTTGGGATGCACATTTACTGGGGACTTTGAAACTGTTTAATTATCTTTTACTTCTTGCTCCCTTGTTGCACAGCTATTGATCTTGGGCAGTCACCAGCACAGACCCATATTCTGGGTGTGTTATCTACATTGTCTTTAACCATACTGGTTTTTCTATTTGGTTTTCAGGAGACGTTGGGACATTTAAAACCACTACATTGCTGACACAATCATGTTATAGAAATTCCGATGTACATTTCAAGGGAATCACTGTGGTTGCTGTATTGATATTAGACTATAGGAAAATGCGTAAGGAAGCAGGGAGAGTAATTTTATGGCTCTTGTAGTTACCCAAGTGATAAAAGATGATCGTTTGGAAGATGACTTCCAAAGTTGGATTCTGAATGTTGTCTGAAGGCAGAGCAATAGATTCACTGATTGATTAGATGTTGGATGTTAAAGAAAAAGAGGAGGCAGAACATTTTGAGGGATGGAGTTGTCATTAACTGGGATATAGAAACTGTAGCTAAACCATGTTGAGTGTCATATTCGTCAGGTTGGGGTTAGGCTATGCTGCAGTCATAAACCCTGAACTCGCAAGTTCTTGAATAATAAATAAGATGGTAGCAAGTAGCCTTCCTTCATCTTGTAGTCTTGCCATAATGGATATTTTACCTCTACTTTTTGCTATAGCAGGAGGATCATAGAAAACGACTGTGACTGCTTCTGTTCTCCTCCGCCTCCTGCTCCCCTTCCTCCTTTTTTCTTATCAATCTCTCTTCTTCTTCTATCCCCTCTTCCTTCTTCTTCTCCTCCATTTCACTCTCTTCTTTACCCATCTTCCAATATTTAAAGTTCCAAGTAACTACATAATAACTTTGAAGTGCTACTGTCTAACATAATGAACTTATTCCTGTATAAACCCAAACAAACCTTCCCTCTGCGAGCGATAACACACAGTCTCACTCCTTCCTGCATTAATTTCTGCTTTATGTTCATTCTTTCCATTCATAATTCAGCGGCATCCTGATATCCTGTAGTCTTTGTGCTATTATTACCTACACATCCTGTATAATATCATTGGTCAAAGTGAGAATAGAAAAGAAAAAGAATCTTATAGAAATAAAAGCAGAGCAGATCAATGAAAATATGGGTCATCACTAGAGTCCTCATTTATAAAGCTGTTCACAGAGTCATATTTGATATATGATAATTTCTTTCCTAACTATTCATTTCACATTTTCTTTGCTTTTAGCCAATACTTTCACTGGACAGCTTCTTTAGCTGACAAGTAACTTGAAATTTACTCCTGAGAGATTTGAACACTTGACGATCCTGCCTGTACTAGCTTGCTGAATTAATTCCTTCTCTTGTGCAAATGTACGTGGGTGCAGTAGGAGGGATGCAGCAGCAACAACATACTCCTCCTTGTCTCCCACCATAATCAGCACTCCTACCAACTCTAGATGGCAAGAATCACTTACCTGAGATGACACAACAATGGCTATGCGGCTTGACCTTCTTCCCTCCTGGAGGAGTTCCCATCCCCATTGTCCTTCAGGATCACCTTAAATGAAAAATGTACAGCATTAATAATGCAATTTTGTGTGATATCAGGATATCATGAAGAACCACCTGTCAACCAGGCTTGACGTTTTTCCTTCTCAAGCAATTACTATGAAGGAATTCTGCGTGCAACCCAGGTGTTTGCTGAGGGGTAAGTGAGGGGCAGCAGGAATGATCATCCTGGGTATGTACCTCCCCACATGCATTGTGTACTCAGGACCTCCCTAAGCCTGATAATGTCTATACCACCCCCAGTTGGAGATGAAAGTTGGGTGGCATGCCTTCCTTTAGCTGGTAGGTCAGATGACACCCACTTGATAATGTGCTTCTCGGGTCACTTGATTACTTGGTGTTTCATGGTCATGTGTTAAGTCTGTGTTTGACCTTAAGAGCGAGCCCAAAACTGTTGCTCAAAAGGAGAACAGTTACTTGTTGAAGAGGGCATGGTTTTGACCACATCTTCTGCTGTGATTTTGTTTTGAGGTTTTACCATAGGATTGTAACAGCGCTCTGTTTAATCACACATAATGTGAGCACTGTTGGATCCAGGAAAACTGACCACAGAGACAAACATAAGCTATTTCTTTTGAGTCACAGTAAGGTTGTGGATTCCTAGTGAAAAATATCAATTTTTCTGACCTGATGTGAAAAAAAGAGTCTGTGTACACATTTTAACTTTATGTATGAAAGGGTAGGTCCTTCTTTCCTGGAAGGTGGAGGAGATAGGCAAAAACAGATCTTTGAATATTAGGTCTAGGGCTGTTTATATGAAATATCAAATAATAAAAATTAAATAGGATATTGTAAAATATGTAGTTTAGCACATTTATTACCATATATGTTTTTGTATCTAAACCCCAGCCTCTCAGATTTAGATATATTTTGATCAAGATGTCAATGCCATTTTATCAAGAGAAGATAGAAGTATTTGTGTATGATTGAAGCTTAGAAGCGCCATTATTTTGATTTTCTTTTACTTATGGCAAAGGAGACCTCCAGGTGATGTACTATGATTGATCAAAAAAACAAAATTCAAGCACTTCTCTTTGCTAGAGAGATGTTTAGATGTTTCACAGTGAGCCGACTCGTATGGCAGCCACTTTCTCTCAGATATGCTTTTGAAGGATGTGTATGTACTTGTTGTACCCACGTATTTCTTAAGAGTTCTCAGATATCCACTGCACTTAGCTGAGAGCAGAGCCCCTTCATCACTTAGTTGTCCTCTTCTTTGCAACTAAGAGGCAGTAAATTAGTGAAGAGTTCTTTCTGGAGGGTTTTCTGCGTTTGCTCCATAGGGCTGGTGGTTATGCTTAAAGATCGAATTGAGTTGGAACTTCCTAAGTGATAACACCCTTTCCTGAGAACAGGGGTCAGTTAGGTTCTGCAGTTCTCTTGGCCCACGTAGGTGCACTCTCCTCTCCACTTCATGCACTCAGACCTTAAGAGAGCCCCGAGGGGTGATGGTCAGGTGGCATGGTGTCCCATCACCCATTTACCGGTTATGTCCCTCAGATTCACGCACAACTGAATCATTTATTTGAAGATCAAAGGCAAACACTGCTCTCAGGTGACATTTTTGTTGGTGTTTATTTTGATTGTTGTTAGTGAGACTGCACATGCTATCCAGGAACACAAACGTTCATGTGCTATCAAAGTGTGTTTCTCCTCATTGGTAGAAGTCTACATGAGACAAAATTACAATGCCTGTCAGTTTTTAACTTTTAGGCCAGCTATGTCTGCCTGCTTTCTGTCTCGGGGAATATCCTATCAACTCCTTTCCCCTATTACTTGAAGAATTGTTAGTAAAGGGCATTGTTGGTGTCTTCTGGACAATAAATGTTCAAAACCTACCAATAATCATTTATGTTTTAAACTATTATCTTAGCAATCAAAAATCATTCTCCTCTTTGTCCAAGTTAAAGCTGTTCAAGAATCCCTCCCCTCTTATTTAAACGACTTGTGTGTGAGGGTATGTTTAGGGAACAGATTTTCTGTTTGTATTTTCAGGATTAGTATCAGTTTAATCCACCAGAAGGAGGTGGAAGTGAAGCACCCACTCCTGTTTTCATACCACAGACGCAGAGCCTCTCCCATTGCAGAGTGTCTATTTCAATGCTGTGAGTGGGAGAGGTTTATTGGTGAGCATGGCGCTTGGAAACAGATAAGAGAAAAAGCTTAAAGATAAATTAGCAATCTCTTTCTGACTTGACTTCCATTTTAAAAAGAGAAACCAGGAAAGTTTGCATTACTTCTTATTTTAGAACTTTTAATGAAATGCTAATAAGAAATGAGGAATATTTGTTTAATAGTCACTGGACTGTTGAATATACTTAAGTCGTGGTGTAGATGGATTAGGAAATTAATAAACAAAATGCCAAATTAATATATACTTTTATGGAGAATAAATTACAAAAATAAAAAAATTCTTTAGAAAGAGATTTATCTTAATATTAGGTACAGATGATATGCATGTCTACACAGAGTACAGAATTTAATACTTTAAAATCACTGGATGCCTAAATTATAGGTTAATTACCAAGTTATAGACATATCAGACTTTTAGAATCACTCCTCTTATGTTTAATTAATTAATTATTGTGTATACTAGTAATGTCTAACAGCTCTTAAAAACCTAATGCCAATGTTTACATTTTGAGTAAAATAAAATAAGATATGAAAGAAGGCATGAATTAGAAAGAGGACTATATATAATGACAGGCAAGTATTTTTATCTGTGCCTTACGAAGTCATGTTGATCAGACGACATTTTTAAGGCATTTAAAGACAAAGCCCCATTTTTCGGGCAAAGAACCTGAATAGATTCTTCTCCAAAGAGGACACAAGGATCACTAATCATCAGAAAGAGGCAAATTAAAATTACAATGAAATATCACCTCACACATGCCAGAATGGCTACCATCAATAAATCAATAAACGAGTGCTGGCGAGGATGTAGAGAAAAGGGAATCCCAGTGCACTGCTGATGGGAATGCAGACTGGTGCAGCCACTGTGGAAAACAGTATAGGTTTCCCTCAAAAAATTACCTATCCAAGATATGCCTACCATTTTAAGTAGAGCCACTTTCTTTCAAAAATTCCATTTTCTGGTTCTCAGGCATAACACTGAAAAATCAGGTAAACATGCAGGTTACTAGATATCTACTACTAGTATCAACTATGCTTAATTTCTATCTTATATGAGCTCTATTTACTGGACAAACAATATAAATAGAACAGGACAAGAAAGAGGAAGCTCTTGAATTTTAGGAGTACATCCTGTTATAATTCCCAACTATGTGCATCAACCTGGCATCACAGTACCAAACTCAATTTTAATAAAAATGAGTTGCACATCCCTGTATGCCTTCTAGAGGAGGGTCTTTAATAGAGCCACTGAAATTTGTCCTACTCTTCTTGCAACACAATGATTTCTGAGACGATCCACTTGGTTTTTTATGTTTGATATCTTTTTATTTTCTCCTTCCAGAGTTTCAGCAGGCCATTTAATTGTGAGATCTGTAAAGAAAGATTGGGATAGGGTTTTCCCATTGAATTTTATTTTATTTTTTTAACCCTTATCCAAGGATATTTTTTCATTGATTTTTAGAGAGTGGAAGAGAGAAGGAGAGACAGAGAAATATGAATGTGAGAGAAACACATCGATTGGCTGCCTCCTGCAGGAGCCCTGACCAGGGCCCCAGAGGGGGAGGAGCCTGCAACCCAGGTACATGCCCTTGACTGGAATTAAAGTTTGGTCCGTAGGCTGAGGCTCTATCCACTAGGGCCCCATTGCACTTTATGAAAGAAACCAGCCCTTTTTGGTTGCAACATTTTTTCAAAAAATATATGACATAGCCCTGGCCAGTTTGGCTCAGTGGATAGAGCATTAGCCCCAGGGACTGAAGGATCCTGGGTTCAGTTCTGGTAAAGGGAAAGTTACTTGGGTTGTGGGCTCAATCCCCATCCCTGGTCAGGCGAGGTGTGTGCAAGATCAAGCAGTTGGTGTGCCTCTCTCTGTCTTTCCCCATCCCTTCCACTCTCTCTAAAATCAATGAAAATCCTCGGGTGAGGATTAACTATATATATATATATATATATATAGTATAGTCTTGCCTAATATTTCAGAATCTCATAACTATATGGCACTGACTGTGTTCTCTGTTCTTAGACCTCAGTTCCCCCAAAAGGACTCTGTTGCCTCAGTTTATAATCTTTTCACACCACCCTAAGGAGATGAATTAGGTCTCTGTTCTCAACAAGTATTTTATGAGAGTACTCATGACTTATGGAGATAGGGATTGTAATTTTTGGTTTATCTTTCAAATGAATCAACTGTCTTTGGCTTCACTGATGAAAACATATTGTTAAGTAGGGACAAAGTACTCATTCTCATGACCCAATCCTTGAGCAGGTTGCCTTTCACAGGAAACCATGCAACCTAATGTGAAATGAAGGCTGCAGCGTGCGTCAGTGCTCTCTCCAAGCAGGCAGTCAAGTTGAAAAATCTTTTTTGCTTCCTGTCTTATGGAATGAGAGGGGAGAAAAAAATCTGTATATCCCTAAATGCATTGGGAATAGCAGTAAAATGACCTCGGCCACTGAGAATCTGAAATTGTCCTTGAAAACTGCGGGGGACTGAGGCTCCCCGTGGAACAGCTGGAAGGCAGAGAGGAGGAGTCTTTAGTCACTAGGGCTGGAAAATGTTCATGGCTCCATTGTCTTGTGAAGCAAATCTGTACATATTTATAAGAGCTGGCTTAGAAATTATAGTAATTTGATCCATTGTTGATTGTTGTAAACATTTTCAATTAATATAAATATCTTGTGCTATGTGTTTGCTTTGCTGAAAGGCACTTGTTGAAAATTAAGCACTTAGTCACAGAAACATCTGGGCCAGACAGCGATGACTCAGGACAAACTCATCACCATTATTGAAATTGAAAGAGCATGGCTTCCCGACAATGAGTCATGAACATCCTATTCTCATACAGGGGGCTAACC